TATCTGCTACCAGGAAAAACGATTTATTTTGTCAGGATAGTCCTACCCAACTCACGAAATATTCTACGTTTAGAAAAACTATCTCTTATCATGCGATTTTGTGAAAGTCTATTTTATTATTTCATCTAGTTCGTCAAGTTCATTTTTATTCGATCTTGTTCTTGTTTCTTACAACCATGAAAGTGTGTTAGACCTGTTGATTGTCATAGAAGTTTCCTTGTTAATCTCAAGCAGTATGTTTGTCAACAGCGACTCAACCCGTAATCGTTTTGCCACGAATCCTGCTTAATTTTAACTCCAGGACCATCTGGCTGTTACTGACAGAAAAAATATTACTTCTGCTCTAATATTTCAGCTATTTATATAGAGACCAAATGAGCACCGGACAGGCTATTTAATCTTCCACTAACACTCATTATGCGTTTATTGGTTGTTTATCGTGACATATTTAACTGTATTTCTGTAATATTCATGACATCCTAGATACAAAAAAAAACAGACTGAGATGTTGCATACACAAACAGTTTATGGGTTGTTTATCGTGAAATATTTAACTGTATTTCTGTAATATTCATAACATCCTAGATACAAAAAAAAAAACAGACTGAGATGTTGCATACACAAACAGTTTATGGGTTGTTTATCGTGAAATATTTAACTGTATTTCTGTAATATTCATAACATCCTAGATACAAAAAAAACCAGACTGAAATGTTGCATACACAAACAGTTTATGGGTTGTTTATCGTGAAATATTTAACTGTATTTCTGTAATATTCATGACATCCTAGATACAAAAAAAAAAACAGACTGAAATGTTGCATACACAAACAGCTTGTGTTTAGTTTAAACCTTTTATGCTTCAGGATTCTTCAGCAATGGCGAGAGTGAATTGGCAAATATTTACCAGAAGGTTGCAGATGCTTTAATGATAGAAATGATGTTTGCCCATACCACAAAACAATTTATCATAGACCTTAAGGGTTATACTGATTAGGTGTAGAATTCTGCACTGTATGATGATAGGGTCATTGTATAGTAACCTTTTGTGTTTATTAGCAACTAGTCTACCTGAATATTAATCGCAATAGTAACCTCCAATTTAATTTTGAACATAGATGTTTACAAATGGAAAATTTTCAAACATGTCATACCAACAATGCAGCGCACATTAAATTTTACGTAGTAGAGGTGGCTATAATTCCAGTTCACTATGGAAAATGTACTTTACTCAGTTGCATTTTTAACTATTATATTTGAAAGCATTACAAGCTCTTTTCATGTACATTTGCAGCTACAAAATAAATCAATGCACCAGAAGAGTACATCTCATTGAACCTCATCTAGCCTGTGACTTTTAATTTTTCTCAACCTGTGAATCCTCTTGATGTACACGTTTAAAATATAACATAAACATGTCTTTTTGTAATGACTCCTGGGTCTTCAAATAATTAACAAGAAAGAGCGATAACTAAAACTTATTGTATAACTGAAAATATAATTTAGTTCATTAAAGATTAACTTTCGGTATGGAGAACGAATTCCTGAGATTCTAAAAGTTCTATTAATTTCCATAATTTGAGGATATACGAATAAGTTGCAAAGTTATTCCAAAAGAAGTCTCTATTAGACCAGTGCACCACCAATGTAGAAGAATCAGTATGTTATAATCCAAAAAATGTCTTTAGATGAATTCACGGTAAATCGACTACGCCTACTGTTCTTGATCCAAATGTCTTTGAATGAATTCAAAGTAATTCCGCACCGTTAGTATATCCAAAATGGACCCTCAGCTATACTTCAGCTTTTCCTCTCTTACTTTACATTCAAGACCAAAACTGTATTACCTTCTGCACATTGCAATAACCGGTTCATCCACTCACATAACACGACCTTGTTGTAGCGTCATTTATAATCATTGAAAGTAGCAAAACTCGTTTAAAGTGGATATAGAATGGCAGCAAATTATGATTGTGGTCTCAAGATCACATGCATTTTGAAAAAGCAATTTAACTGCAATTTATATATAATAATTAAAATATATGATAGGTTCGATAAACAAGACTTCAATACTCTCTGGCTAACAATCTTCATAAAAATTATCTCACCAATACAAGTATCAATTCACATTCAAATAATCATGTTTTTTGCCACATTTCAAGGTAATAAGAGGAAGATAAAGTTGTAAAAGTTAGCTTTGTTTGGCTTACAGAGTTGAAGCAATTGTTTTCAGTATTGTAGTGAAACAAAAATTTGACTCGGATTGCTTATTACTATCATTATTATTCTGACCCACTGCTCGCCACGGGTTCGCCTTAGGGAAATTAATGTCCTGCAGAAGATGTTGTTTATTCTGTTAACAAAGCTTCTATTTTGGTCCTGATGTTTTTCTTTGTTTATTTTTATCGACCAGCCATCATAATTAATAAGTACTTACCAGGGGCAGATCATTCGGGTGTCAATTAGTAACTATTTATGACAGTATTTGGGCCTGGGGTTGCTCTTTATCGAAACAAGAGATACATAACATTTGGATTCGGTATTCAGAGAAAGGTTTATTTTCAACGTGTGTGATTAAAAGTTAACTAGTGAGTCCCTATCTGCATTTGAGAGGACACTAAAAGAAATACAGTTAAAAGACAGATGTTATATAATTTTATGAAAGCTTCTTCAGAATATAACTTTAAAAATTCAAATTCAGAAAGTTTTAAAGAATACACTGATAAATTCAGTGAGAGAACGAAGACAGGTACATACAAATGTGAGATAAAACCCAAATGAAAACAGAAATTTGACTGAAAATCAAGAGCAATTTTAATAAAAAATACTGTTATATTCTCCAACAAAACAAAATATTTATTTTTCAGTCTCTATCTGCATATTTACTGTAAACAAAATACATATTTTCTCTCAAAAACGCACAGATAGATTTTTTTTAACTAATAAAATAACTAATGAAGAGCGATCACTATGATCTATCTATGCAGAGTAAATTAAGCTATTATCTCCCTTGCCGCTATTTGTGCTTCAAGTATTCAAGGTTATAAAAACCTCTGAATTTTCATTTTTTTTAATTAATAATTATGGTGACATATCCACTGCGTAGGAAATGTACTGTTAGCAGGTTAGTAATTTGAAACAGAGATTGATACCAATCTATATTTTGACCCCGATAATCTAAAATTCGAGGTCGCGTTACGATACCACGCAAGGTCTATTTTTCACTTATGTAACGAACGACAGCTCATGCAGAAGATATCAGAATAGTAAACAAATAGATTCGTCTGTCTGTCCGTCTCTCTCTCTCTCTCTCTCTCTCTATATATATATATATATATATATATATATATATATATATATATATATATACATACATACATACATACATACATACACACACATATATATATATATATATATATATATATATATATATATATATATATATATATATATATATATATGCAATAAACTGACGACGAACAGTACGAAACTAGTAACTAACTAGCCTAAGCGCTTTCGACTCTTAATCAGTCTTTTTCAAAGGCAAATACAAAACATATATACGACAAACAAAAAAACACAAAAACGTTGTGTTTGTAAACATCTACATGGCTGTCTTCACATGTGCTAAAACTATAAATACAACCAGCTTGTGTAGACTAGTTGCGGAAACTGAAAACGTATAATTCCCTAAAAGTCTACAAGCCAAAGCGACATCTATTATTACTTTTTGTACATATGTAACGCAGATTATATCCTGGATATTTGATTCTATACCGGTTATTCTTATAGTAAAAATTGAAGGATTATAAGAAGATTTAGAAAATGTTAAATTCTACTAGTTCATAGTTTTCATTTTCTAATCTTCTTCGTTTAGTCCGCTTGGTTTCAATGTTCTATGGCGGCGTATCCAGTATGATTCCTTTTCCTTCCTGATTTCGGAACTCCAGCTGTGGTTGTTAGCAATAGCGATAAGTATTTTATCACTGAAAGTGTGGCCAGGGGAGGAGACGTGTTCTGCACCGGGCTTATGTACAGCTTTTTTTGTCATCCAATCAGATCTATGAAGGTTTATCCTTTTTTGTAGCTTTTCAGTTTCTCCGATGTACTGAATGCCACAGATCTTACATGTGATGAGATAAATCACATTCTCTGTTTTGCACGTTTTGTTTGGACCATGTATGTTTAGTTTTTCTTTAGTCACTGTGCTATTGCATGTTTTGGTCTCTATCATATGTTGACAGGTTTTGCATCTTTTATCGCCACAGGGTCCAGATTGACTAGGTTGGTTTTGACTAGCGATTGGCGTTAGCTTTGCCCTGACTAGGATGTCCTTTAGGTTTTTTGGTCTCCGGTAAGCTACTACAGGTTTGTTCGGAAGTATTAGGTTTAGTATGTCTGACGATTGCACGGTTGGCCAGTGGTTTGCGATGATTTTACCTACTTTGGGATTGTCTGGGTGATAGGTCAGAATAAATGGTATCCTATCAACCTTTTCTTTCTGTCCATATCTGAGTAGGTCATCACGGTTTGTTTGTTTGTTTGGCCCTTTGGATTGCCTCCGCAATCAGGTCTTTGTCATAGCCTTGGTAAATTAAATGTTTCGCCAGCTCTTCAGACCTTTTTAGGAATCTTTCATCGTCGGAGCAAATTCTGCGTATCCTCAGTGCCTGGCTATATGGAATGTTCTTAATGCAGTGTTTTGGATGACAGCTGGTTGGGAGGAGATACTGGTGTTTGTCGGCTGGTTTCGAGTAGATGTCTGTGTGTAAATTTCCAACTCAAACCATGTTTTCCTGGACACAACAACCAGACTGGTGGAAAACAAATTACACACAGACATCTACTCTCCCCTTCTCTCTCTCTCTCTCTCTCTCTCTCTCTCTCTCTCTCTCTCTCTCTCTCTCTCTCTCTCTCTCTCTCTCTCTCTCTCTCTCTATATATATATATATATATATATATATATATATATATATATATATATATATATACGCTCCGGTAGCCTACTGCTGGTTAGAGCGTCCGCCTAGGATGCGGGAGGTCGTAGGTTCGATCCCGGGTGAGTCATATCAAAGACTAACAAAGATGGTACTAAGAGATGCTTCGCTTGACGCTCAGCATTAAGAGGTTAGTGTTAGGACTGCTCAGCCTGGTGTCAGGACAATGTGACTGGGTGGTACATCGTACTTCATGTCTGCGGCATGATGCTAGACATCACTATAAACTGCAAGACTCCAAAAATGGTAGCGATATGACTGAAAATTTCTCAAAGCTACGTTGAAAATCTTAATCATATCACACACGCACACCCACCCACCCACCCATATTTATATATATATATATATATATATATATATATATATATATATATATATATATATATATATATATATATATATATATATATACATATATAATGTCTCGAATCTGCAAACTTGGATAAAACAAATTAGAACAAAACACTGGTATATATGTATATGTATATATATATATATATATATATATATATATATATATATATATATATATATATATATATATATATATATATATATATATATATATTTATATATATATATATATATATATATATATATATATATATATAATATTCTCCTTGTACTTATGATATATGTATGTTATTTTATGTTTACAATTTTACAATGTTTTGCTCCATATCCGTATTTTAATTTATATTTATGGACTATGCAGTCTGAAATAAAGAATTCTGATCTTGACTAATAATATCTTATATATATATATATATATATATATATATATATATATATATATATATATATATATATATATATATATATATATATATATATATATATATATATATATATGTGTGTGTGTGTGTGTGTGTGTGTGTTTGTTTGTTGGCTTCCGAAAGTCTCTAGAGACGTTGGAAATGCGCCCATGAATGGTGAACCAATTTGTAGTTGTGCAGCGTCTTCTGCAGCTATAAAGCCCTACACAGGAATGGCAATCCTTGCTTCAGTTGCTGCACTTGAAGTTTGAGTCAGGTCTTGGTTGGAGCTGCATCCACTTCCTCTGAGATCTTTTCTCATCAGCGGGCTGTAGTAACGTTTCCTCGTTGGTTTTCAGACCTATGAACAGAGCATGTCGCCAGCTGGATTTGTCGAGGGGAAGCTCTTCGCAGGTATTGACCTCGATCCCAAGAGCATTCAGATCGTGCTTTCAGACATCCTTGAAACGAAGATGTGGCCGTCCGATTGACATTCTACCTGAGGAAAGCTTAGAGTAGAGAAGGTCTTTGGGGATCCGTCTATCATCCATTTGATGCACATAGCCCAGCCATCTGATGCGACGTTGGCGGATGAGTGTGACCATGCTGAGAATTTTGGCCTGTTGAAGCACCTCGTTGTTTGTCACACGATCGCTCCAGGTGATCCCGAGTATGCGACGGAGACAACGCAAGTGAAAGGCACTCAGTATTTTCTCCTGAGAGGCATGTAGGGTCCAAGGTTCGCTGGCGTACAGGATAGTGCTAAGCACGTAGGCACGGTTCACGGAGATCTTAGTGTTCAATATCAGATTGCTGTTTTTTACACTCTCTTCGACAATCTAGAGAGAGTTGTTGACGCCTTTCCAATCCGCTTGTTGTGCTTGTTGTCCTCTGTCAGGGTGAAGGCTTGTATTCCAGGAGGGCACTGCGACACTCTTCTATTGCTGGCATGAGTGTGGCGGAATTGGCGTCAAACCAGTCATTTTTTTTTGTCTGCTTCTTACCAAAGTGAGTGAGAGGTTGTTGGTGATGGTAGAGCCAAGGTAAGTGAACTTATTGATTACTTCGAGTTTGTAGTTGTTGATGATAATGCTGGGAGGGTCTTTGTCCTGAGCCATCACGTGGGTTTTCTTTAGGCTGATGATCAACCCGATTAATCAAATGCTTTAATAAGGCAGTCCATCATGCGTTGTAGTTCAGTTTCTGTGTGAGTGTTTATAGCAGCATCATCTGCAAAGAGCATGTCACTAATGGTTGCTTTTCTTACTTTGTTCATTGCTTTAAGTCATGCCAGGTTGAACAGCCTGCCGTCTGAACGCGTGTGCAGATAGATCACTTCTGTGGACGTTCCAAAGGCGTACTTAAGCAGGACAGCGAAGAAGATGCTAAAGAGCGTGGGGGCAAGGACACAGCCTTGTTTCATTCCGCTGTGGATGTTGAATGGTTCGGACGATGAGCCATCGTACTCCACTGTGACTTTCATATCTTCATGGAAGGACTGGACCATGTTTAACAGCTTTGGAGGGCATCCATTCTTCGTCAGGATTTTGAAGAGTCCGTCTCTGTTGACCAGATCGAATGCTTTGATGAGGTCTAGTAAAGCCAGGAAGAGGGGTCTGTGTTGTTCCCTGCACTTCTCCTGCAGTTGCCTCATGGAAAAGATCATGTCGATTGTGGACCTCTCTGAGCGGAACCCACACTGAGACTCTGGATACACTCTGTCAGCAAGCGTCTGCAGTCTGTTCAGGATGACTATTGCGAACACTTTACCAACTATGCTGAGAAGTGATATGCCCCTGTAGTTGTTGCAGTCACTTCTGTCGCCCTAGTTCTTATACAGAGTTATGATGTAAGCGTCTCTCATGTCCTGAGTCATTGCACCTTCATCCCAGCACTGGCAGAGAAGATTATAAAGGTGTGTAAACAGCACACTGCCGCCACACTTGATGACTTCTGCTGGGATGCCATCCTTCCCTGGGGCTTTACCTGTAGTCAGTTTCTCTAAGGCCAACTTTAGTTCTGCCGCAGTAGGTTTCTCATCCAGTTTGGTCAAACAGGGGAGGTTTTTGATGGCGTTGTGGGCATCGTTGGTCACGTTGTTCTCTCTGGAATATAGTCTGGAGAAGTACTCCACCCAGCCCTCCATCTGTTTGCCCATGTCGTGAATGATGTCGCCTGCAGAAGACTTTAGCGTAGTTATCATTTTCTTCGTTGGACACATTGCTTTTATACATGCCTCTGATATTTCCGTTTTCCACTGCCGACTGGATGCTCTGACAGAGCAGAAGCCAGTATTCATTGGCGCACTGCCGTGCTAACCTCAGCACTTTGCTTCTGGTAGACCTATATGCATGCAGTGTCCTCTGTCAGGGTGAAGGCTTGTATTCCAGGAGGGCACTGCGACACTCTTCTATTGCTGGCATGAGTGTGGCGGAATTGGCGTCAAACCAGTCATTGTTCTTTGTCTGCTTCTTACCAAAGTTTCTTGTGGCTGTGCTATAAACAGTATCTCTGATGTTGTCCAATCTCTCTTTGGAACTGCCATAGGGAGGTTCTGAACTGAACGTCTTGGAGATGTTGTAAGTGAATTCTTCAGCCTTGTCTGGATATGACGTCTTGCTCACATCAATGTGTGGTTTACCCACTTGCCTAGAATGTTGGATGTTCTTTGGTTGAAGCTTAAATTTACAGCAAACTAGTGAGTGATCGGTGTCGCAGTCAGCGATGTGGAATGTACGAGTAAGCTGCACACCCTTCATGGCTGAAGGTCTTGTGATGATCAAGTCCAGCTGATGCCAGTGTTTGGATCGGGGATGTCTCTGAGACACTTTCTGCTGGGGTTTCGTCTGAAAAAAGGAATTGGTGATGCTGAGGTTGTGGTACGAGCACATTTCTAGTAGACGTTGCCCGTTTTCATTCATCTTCCCAATGCCAAACTTGCCGAGACACAAAGGCCAGGAGTCGTGATCGGCACCCAACCTAGTGTTGAAGTCCCCCAGTAACATCAAGTTCCCTTCCTTTGGAATTTTGTCGATGAGCGAGTCGAGCTCGTTGTAAAATGCATCCTAGGTATCTGTGGTGGCACTGAGTGTGGAAGCGTAGACACTGATTAGATTAACTAGTCCGGTTGTGGTGTGGAGGCGAAGAGATAGCAGTCTTTCCATGTTGGCAGGGTTCTATCATCACCAGCAGAGAGTTTCTGACAGCAAAACTAACACTATAATCCCTAACTTCGTCTGAGCTCTTTCCTTTCGAGAAGAACGTGTATTTTTTTTCTCTGAGGGACCCAGCATCTAGTAGCCGTGTCTCTTGAAGTGAGGCGATATCGATATGGTGTCTTGCGAGTTCGTCGTTGATGACTCAAGTCTTTCGAACATCACTGATTGCCTGGATATCATCTGAGAGCCCAGTCAGCATAGTCCGGACGTTCCAGGTAACTAGCTTGAGGATTGTTGATATCCTTGTTTTACTTTTGTTTTTATCTTGGTGCTGTAATTGCAGCCCGCTTGTCAGGTACTCACGTATCTTAAGCCCTGCGCACCCAGCAAAGCAGGAAAGCTGTGGCGGGACGGCACCTTATTGGCTGGGGGCTGCCCAGATTGAGGCAGGCGATAGCTGTCCAATGAGACCTGTTAGTCTCTCCCACCGTCGGAAGCAACACCTAACGTTAACTCTACGCTAATCGATTGGTGACATATAACCGGTAACTGTTCCTTCCAGTGTTGTGTCAACGCTATGAAGCGAAGCTGGAGTGTCCTCTCCAGAGCGCAAGCCTCGGCGGGGTTATATTGAGAATCAGCTGTTGCCCGTGCAACTGACTCCCCCTCTCCACGCAGCTGATAATTCCAAGGGACAGGACAAGCTGATACGTCATGGCACCAGCGACGTCTCAGAAGTTGCCGATGTCACTAAAAGCAGTGACAAGTCGCCTTAGGGACTCCGTCTCCGGATTTTCTGTTGGGGTTTACTCCAATAGCCTTTCCCATGTATGGGTATAGTCGCAAGGCAGCGAAGGTTTGACGTTAGAGTTTACCTTCTCCTAGACGGGCTACCACCCAAGGTTAACGGGTCCCATCTGCCCGAAGCATCTGGTTTTAGGGCGCCAGAAACTCGCCTGCCATCCCTTCTCCAGTTAGTTTAAACAGGTTCCGCCGGGCTTACTAGTTAAGCCACCCGTGAATGCCTGGAGCTGGATTTGGTTGTCAGAGGCTATCTCAGAGGCAAGCCGTTGGGGGATTTCATGGGGAAGTGGGTGCTTATCTCCCACATCCGCTCCGGCGATAACAACACTTGGAGCCCATAAGACCCGCAGTTA